ATAAAAATTTTCAGGAAATTCAATGGAAGACCACAGAGTACTCTCCTGAAATGTACACACTTTCTCTGTGTACCAACCTCTCAAATTATGCAGCACCAACGTATTTTTATGAGAAACTGTTGAAAGAAAATGTAGCCATCAAAGACACTTTTTTCCCATTGATCCAAAGAAACAACATTAATTTGAGCTGTTAAAAGACAAGAAACCTGTTAAAATAAATTTTTTAAAAAGTATTTCCTGACTCACAGAAGCTAAAACCTCATTTTGGAAAATAAGTGGCTGTGAAAGAGATGTGGCTATTCAAAGAATAAACAGTGTGTGTTACTGGGCCCTCAGAGTGTTCGTTTGACTGAAAGGGAACAGTTCTCTCTCTCTCTTTAACCTGATCTTGCAAGGTCTATTTCTTCAGACTCTCTGAAATGGAGATCAGGCTGGAGATGAATATGAATTTTCTCTGCCATTAATTCAATCACAGACTTCACACAAAATGTTCATTTAAAATGTGTAAATGACAGCCACTGAGGATCATGACTTTAGAGGCCATTTCACAGCTTGTGTTTTAATAATTACATGTCACTGTAGCCTCACATTGTTTTGTTGCTGTAGGGCTGTCGTGGGTCCCTCCCCTGTGGGTCTGGGTGGAAGACCACAGCATTTGCAATGATCCCTCTGGGGCAATGATCCCTTTGCAATGATCCCTCAGGGAGCAATTAAATATATGTCCACTGGCTCTGTCTTGTGGCCAGGTCTTGCGGTGGCAGGGAACCTATAAGGCCTGGATCCTCGTGCAAGTCCAGGTGGTCACCAGTTGGTGGTCCTGGCTGATAAGGTCCTGGCAATTAGGTTATCTGCCCAACAGAGCTGGGCAGCCCACAGTTAATGATCCTAGGTGGCAATCAATCAGAGCCACAATAAGTCTATCTGCCCAGGGCTCTCAGCCAGAGTGAGGTAGCCAACAGTTACTAGCTCTGGTCCAAGGCCACTCAGAGCAAGTCAGTAGTTTGGAAGAGGGGGAGAACCAGCTCTGAGGTGGCAGCAACAGTCTAATTCACCTGGCTAACTTCAGTGGCATCAGGCCAGTACAGGCATCCTGCCCTCACATGGCAGGGGCCCACCCTCTAAGGATGAAGTGGCCAGGATAGGGGGACACAGACCCTCCCACTACACTACACCCCAGCCCAGGGCTCTATCACTGATGAATTAGTCCTCCATTGGGTCAGTAGGATCCACCCGCAACACACTGGCCATTTTGCACTTAGTTCCATGGCCAAATCCTATTCGGCTTTCCTGGGCTCCTTCCTATCTTCCCAACCCTGGGTACCTGCATTCTGGGATTGTCTTTGATCTCGCTTGGGTAAAGCAACAGATCCACCAGCTCATCAGGATTCTCTGCGTTAGGAGACTCATGGTAGCACTCGGGAGATGCACCCCATCCCCATACTCCTGCCAAAATCTTAATTGCTAAATGGGATGCTTCCTCATGCCCTCCCTGTTCCTCTTGGTGGCCCTCCCTGAACCCTGTCTCTCTGCAGACACCAGTCACCTATGTCTGGGTATATCCATTCTGACAAACCCGTCCAATTATCCAGCATGGCAACAGCCTCTGGCAGCAGGGGGCTGCCATTCAGCTCCTCTGGCAGTGGCAGCTCTCCCCCTATTAAACTAGAAGGCCTGTATTTTATAGTTCCAGTTCCTGTTCCACCCCTCTGCTTTCTGCTGGGTGGTCACGGATGTCCTAGTTCTGGCCACCAGGGGGCCAATCGCTAGTCTCTCCCCATTGCTCTGAGCAGGAGTTGCTGTGTGTGAGAGACAGACAGATATACCAAGAGACAGACTGATGGGAAGATAAAGAAACAAAGGGGACGCAACATCCCTTGAGGTGAGCTATCAAATGGGATTTATTTTCCTCAATGTGCAGGACTTGGCACAGCTAGGTGCCCTTATTCAATGCTCCTAAAAGCAGAAAAAGGCCACCATTTCAGCCCCAAAGGTGATGTATACTCGTTATAGCATATATAACATGTATTTTGTGGCAAGCTATGCCTACACTCCGTGACCAGTTCCTTAGGTTCTGGGACACCCTCACTGCAGAACTGTGTTCCAGACTAACTTTTCACGTTATAAAACAAGTTACTGTTCAAGACTTCTAGTTGGGAAGATAATCTTGAATACGGGAACCAAATGTCAACAGATGGCGGTGCTGTCTTCCTATGGCAGCTGATACAATACCTCTGAGAGAGGTGAATTGCTGCTTCTAGTTGTGTAGGGTGCTTTGAAATGCCAGATAAGCCTGCAAGGCATTTCTCACCTTCTCAGGTATCCTTCACCTGGCTGTGCTCACCCTTCAAGCTTTATCCAGGACTGGGGGATGCTCTTGAGCAGGCAGAGTGGCCGTGCATTTAGCTCTGTGGAACTAAGCAAAGTCCCGTGGAAGAGGGACTCAACAAGAGCACTTCAGGCAACCAGTGAGTGCGGATAGCTTCTGCAAGTGTCAACATGTCCTCCACTAATGCAAAGAAAAGGAGCCATATGAAAGAGAGGGATGTATCTGATATAGTGAAAGGGATGTCCTCCACTAATGCAAAGAAAAGGAGCCATATGAAAGAGAGGGATGTATCTGCTATAGTGAAAGGGCACGGTTCCACCAGGCAACTACTGTTCAATGGCTGGGGCAGATATCTGGCAATCAGCCCTGCCAATTAACCATATAAACTGTTAATTAGCATGAATATTGGATAGCGTTAGTGTTTATTTAATCTTGTTCACTTTTTGTTCTCTCTCTCAATTGAACAACCATATCTGGTCCTACAGACCTGAGACCTTTAATCCGGGTGCTGAATTGCAGCATATGTTATCTTGAGAAGCTATTGAATTGAGTTTCCATTTCTCACAGAGAACAAGGGTCAATTTCTCTTCAAGTTTTATAGATGTAATGACTACAGCCTCTTTATTCCTGATACCCAGCTCTTCTGCCTTCTCCAGACAAAGTAATCATTCTGTAAATCTTCTCAAAACATGAAGAGGTGTATGGGGAGGGGCAACCAAGAAGCTGAAATACATTTTTCAGGGAATGCTTAGTGAAAAGGAGAGACTTCACAGCTTGAGGTTCTTGGCATGTTTACCCATAGCCCCTTTCCAAGCTGTGATCTCAAAGCACTTTGCAACCATGGCTCAGTTGGAGTGGCCCTGTGCACTTCATAGGGGATAGATTCTAGCAGAGAGTTGATGGTGTCTTCATTAATAGGGTCCTCTTGGGGGCAGTTGCTATGGAAGTGATTCTTCTTTGCTCCCATTGTAGACTCCATGGGAACCCTGTAAGTGGGAAGGTGATCAATCAGTGTACTGCCTGCCAGGCTGCGTGGACACCCCCTTTACCAGCTAGTGCAGCCCATGTTGGTAGGTACGCTGGCTTTCTACATTTCCCTGCCTGTTCCCCGGTGCAGGAAAGTTTGTGGCCATTTTCCACTGAAACCTCCTTGCTTAGCAGAGTTGCCATCCCCAAAGACTGCTGCTACACTCTGTGCCAGCAAAATCTGATATTGGGCTTTGTTGTTAATTAAAACTCAAGGGAGTTAAAGTGACAGACTGTCCAATTCACCCATTACTGAAACGCAGCCATCTCCATGGTGGAACAGAGCACCTGTGACACCAGGCAGGCTGCTGGCGCACCCAGACCACTGCCCATAACGCTGTCCACTATTGTCTCATTGTTTCCTTTCCCTTCCCTGTCTGTCCATCTCCATCCACCGTCTCTTGTCTTACACTAAACTGTAAGCTCCCACCCCGGCAAGGGGCCATCTTGTTCTGTGTTGGTACAATGGGGTGCTGCTCCCTTGACTGGGGAGCCTCAGCAACATGGCATGTAATTAATAAAGAATGATGACAGGAATAGTAATAAAATGATATTACATGCTAGATAACAAAATGAATAACACTGAATCCAGTGGGAATTGCAAAGGGAACACAGGCAGGCAGAGTGTAATTGTCTCCGGAAGAATTTGGCCACTTTTTTTTTACTATAACAGAACGTGACAGAGGATCTGTAATAAATGAGTAACAAGAGCCTCGTTTTTTGTATCTAGTTGAAAAAAGAGTACTTTGAGCCGCCCAGCACCCCCTAGCCCTATGCTAGGCGAGGAGAACAATACATACTGAATCATCTGCCTCACTTCCTGAAGCACCAGAGTGTTTTGGAGGAGGCATCCTGTCCAACAACTGACTTGGCCAATTAGGTTGTAGACCCAACATTAACGGAAAGCAAGGTATTCTGACTGCAGACTGAAATATGAGCATTTAAGAGACAGGCTGAGCGCCCTCAAACAGCACCCCTCCTCCATCCCAACACATTCTCCACCCCTCTATTTGAGTCGTCACTTCGGTTTGGGATCTATATTCAATTTATATGCCAGCAGAGGCTGCCAAAAGGACAGACTCCATTCAGTTCAGCTGCATTCTGAATTTTAGATCCCACATGGCTTTTGTGGACCTTGTTCAGAGTTTTGGCTATTTCCATCCTGTTCCACATCAGTGGGCTGCTTTTCTGAAACACTTGCACCAAATTAACCTATATGTCCTAGTTACTGACACAGTTTTGCCTCCACACAAAGAAAAAAGACAGTGGAAGATTCACTGCAGAACAATCTGAAAGCAGGTAAAATTCTGCTCCCAGTTCCTTCCATCCCCAAAAGTTCAAAAAGGCAAAGCTGTCCAGAAACCAGGACCCATTTGTGACAGTCTCATAAAGTCCCCTATGAAGGAAGTTTAAAAAAAAACCCACCTTGGTGTGAGACAAGGAAAGAAGTGTGAGTCCTGACTCTGCTTTATAGTCTCTTTCCTGATGCTATAAATAACTTGTAGTGAGTGTCACTTCAAAGGAAAGGGGTAGCTGATGAGAGGTACTTTGGGGACTGATGGGGATGGGGGCGTCCCAAGGTCTGATCCCACCCAGAAACTTTGCATAAATAAATAAATCATCGCACAGAGAGCAGGGGAGAGGGAGAGCAGAGGAGGTTACTTTGGGAAGCAGTACAGCTTGCTCATCCGATCCCTGTAGTTCAGAGAGAGTGTGTCATGTTACAGAGAAGCCAGGATCAGCCACAGTGCAACTCCAAAGCAGTTGAGAATTACCTCTCTCTAATGGGGACTTTCATGTGCAATCTCTTAACCACTCTGCTAAGGAATTGAAACTGACAAACCTAGAGGGAGAGGAAAAGAACAGCAAAGACTGAAAGACATAAACTGATCTGATTATTTTCCCCAAAACTTCTGGAGTTGGATCCTTTCTTTTTTTTAATAACTTTTTTATCCATATAATTTTGTTATTGTTGTTGTTATAATTACCATTATTCAGTGGCATTGGGATTCCCTTGGACGCTGCTCTTCCATGAATTCTGGATTGTCCTTCCTGGAGTGGGATTGAAACTTTATTTATTCTATTTATTTATTTATTGTTTCTCAGGACAGGGAGAGAATGTTGGAGGAGAAAGGCTGGAAAGGTGCTAGCACTGGTGCCTTTGACAGGGGGTGTATTGCTCCCCCCCGGACAGGGGATGGAGAGAGATGCTGCAGGTTTCCTCTGCTACTGGTCTCTGGGCTTCCTGGGGTGTCTTTGATTTCTCTGGTGCTGAGCCTCCTGCTATACTTTAGGACATCAGACCTGCAATCCAGGGTTTCACATTTGGAAGCAGACAGATGCACTCAACTCCCTGCCTGGCTCTCTGCAGACCAAATGGAGACAGCTATTTTGGGAAGAGTTGACCAACTGTTTGATGAGGTCTGTGTGCTTTCATTTTCATATAAATATATATTTTAGTTTTTTTCTATTTTGCTTAAAGAATTGTCTAAGCAAATGATTCCACCAAGAGCTTGTTAACTCATTAAGATGTGAATCCCCTCAGATCTCTCCCCTTTAACCCTCCTTCTTTGTAGGCAGTTCATATTTTGCTTCTGTCTGGCAAAGTCTATGATTTGTCTGTGCTTTCACCGTTTTAAAATTAGAGGGTTCTGTTTCTTTTACCCAAGAAAGGGCCCCTTTCTAGCATCGGTTTTTAGCTTCAGTCTGGTAACAAAGGGTTTTGGATACATTTGAGATGACAGAAAACCAGGAGAGGTAGGTATACAGGGTGCAATTTAGAAACCAGATTTGAACATCACATTAGCACAGTTTAAAACACATAGCAAAATCCAGCTGAACTGAACATACCTGGGAACGGCACTGTGACAGTAGCAAATAAATGCATATTGTGACAAGTAAAATGAGAAACGCAGCAGGCAGAAACAGGTAAGCAGTACGATGAGCTGATTCTTAGGTGCCTGTTTCAAAGCAGTTGAGAAGAAATACCCTTTTATTTCAATCCAAACCACTTTTGCAGTAGTTTAGAAAATAAAAAGACAAATATTGCTGTAGGATACTCCTGAGCTCTTAGCTGACTTAGAGCACTTGGGGCCTGATCCAAACACTGCTGGAAGTCAATGTGAGTCCTTCTGCGGAGTCCCATGGGTGCTGGGTCAGATTCTTAGATATTACAGTGATCATTGCTGTCAAAAATTTTAGACAGACAGACAAATAGTTAGATGAGACATATTGTGCATCGTAAAGCTCAGAGATAAACCCTCCAACTCTGTGAAAGATCCTCCATTTCATCATTCTGATGTACCCTCTTCATGTCTCTAATCACAAAGTCATAGAAATATAGTGCTGGATATAAACCTAGGCTACCCCAACAGGCATTTGTTTAGCCTGTTGTTAAAATCCTCAAAAATGACAGAGGTTCCACAACCTCCCTTGGAAGCCTATTCCAGGGTTTAATTATCCTTTAAATTAGAATGTTTTTCCTCATATCTAAGCACAATCTCCCTTGCTGCAGATTAAGCCCATTACTTCTTGTCCTACCTTCAGTGGACACGCAGAATAATATATCACCATGCTCTTTATAGCAGCCCTTAACATATATGATTGTTATCAGGTCCCTCTTCAGTCGTGTCTTATCATGCCAATTTTTAAAAAATCTTTCTTCATAGGCTGGGTTTCTAAACCTTTTATCAGTTTTTAGCTTTCCTCTGGGCTTGTTCTAATATTTCCACATTGTTCCTAAAGTGTGGCGGTGAGAACTGAACACACTACCACAAGTGAGGTCTTACAAGTGCTCAAGAGAACGTGACAGTTACTTCTCATGTCTTACCTAGAACACTTCTTTTAATACAACACATTGGTTCTTCATAATTGTTGTTGAAGGCCAATTTTTAAAAGCTTGACCAGCTTGTGGCTTTTGCCGTGGTTCTGAGAAGTGCTAGAAATTAGATAGGTGCTCACTTGTCCAAACCAGTCAAAAATGCCAAACTTTGCTGTTCACTGACTGACATGATCAGGGAGGGTGTTCTGCTATATCCAGAGAAGTCCTGCTGGGCCTTCTTTTCACCCTCCACTGTGCAAACCACTTCTGGTTTTGCTCGGGTTATACATTTCACAGATTCATATGAACAGACAGTATGGAAAGAACTGGTGTCAGACCCATTAGCTTATAAAAAATGGAGCTAGTTTCTGCAGCCCGCTGTGTTTCATTATCTCATTCACATGTTGCATTATTAGGAAATAAGTCAAGGAACGAAGTAATAAAATTAGTCCAGTTTAATGCCATTGAGAGCAGCCTTACCATAGAACATCAGCAAAAAGTAAATGAGAGCAACACCATGACTCTACCATAATCTCATCATATGCTGAGACATCTGGTTAAAATAATGGAGGGTTCTGGATAAAATATCTCTCCACTACATGTAATGACTCTGAGTGCTTGATATCTGAGGGTGGTTCTTGGAGAGACTGATTAGACTGCAGATGAGTTCTTTAATAGCTAACACTGATATGGCACTGCTGTGAGGAAGCTTACAACTAGCTGGAATTGACTGGGTGTTGCCCTACAAGCCCATACTGCTGGAGTCCTAGTAATGGATTTCTAGGGGTAGGTCACATTGCAAAAGTCCTGCTGACCTATGTGGGACACTGTCATAAAGAGGCTCACACACTGCTCCATTTGTAGCTGACACAGGAGAATGGGGATGTGTCTACACAGCAGGGCTTAACTCGAAATATGCTACGCAAATTAAGCTATGTCAATTGTGTAGCTTATTTCAAAATAGCTTAATTCGAAATTGGGAGTGTCTACACAGCACTTATTTTGAAACAGAGCACTTTTCCTCCAACTTCCCTTACTCCTTGTACAATGAGGGTTACAGGAGTCGGAGTAAGAAGTCCTCCAGTTTGACAGTATTTCCACATTATTTAGAAATAACTGCCTGCTGTGTAGATACAGACTATGTAATTTTGAAATAACGCTAGTTATTTTGAAATAATGTTGCTGTGTAGACCCTGGTGGGAATATGAAGGAAGTCCCTATCACTGTAGACTTTGCTGGCATTGACAGGACACTGTTGCGAGGAAGCTGGCATCCTTGACGGTAGGACACTGCCACTGTTAGGACACTGCCACGTGAAAGTTTCAAAATTATAACAGAACTTAACGAAAGAAGTTAGGTTCGCTAAGAGAAAATGAGTTTGATTCTCCTGTCACACCAGATTTACACTGCTGTAATTACATCTACTTGAATGGAGTTACTCCTGATTTACACCCGTGTCTGTGAGAGGGGAATCAGGACAAGTAAATGAGTTATTTTCTAAGAGTTTATTTACCTCTCTCGCTACACTGAGTCTCCAGGAAGGATGACGAAATAAGAAGGAAAGAGACAGATAAAGGAGAGTAGGAAGGGAGGTTGAGAAAGGCAATTGAAAAGGATACAGAACAAGAATGGGAAAAACAAGTGAGACACAAAAAGTGGTGGAATATGAAAGGAAAGGACTGGGAGATCACTTTAGAGGAAGGGTGAGCAAGGAAGCATATTCATCCCCTTCTCTTTCAGATTACCAGGCTTCTCATGGCCACATCCTCCTGGACAAACTATGCTCTCCCTCAATGTTTTGACCTTAATGAGTTTTACAGCTGTCACTTTCATATAATTCAGCACAAAATGATTTTTTTGAAAATCCCCAGACTTCCAAAACCGGGGAATCCATTCTAATTGAGGAGACTGCTGGGGGAATGAGAAGGACATGGAGTGAAGCAGCTTGGCATTCTCCCTTAAATTGTATAGGGCAGAGGGTGGGGACGCACCTGTATTTATGGTGTGAGGATTTTCTGAGTGTATATGTAGATGTATTTGTCTTAGATTCACATGCATGTGACTGTGCCTTCTCTCTGTGTGCATTTAAAGCAGGGGTGGGCAAAAGGGCCTCTGTGGGCCAGATCCGGCCCACCAAGCGGGTGGATCCAGCCTGCAAAGGCCCTGATGCTCCCCTGCCCCCAAGCCAAGTAGGTTCTGGGGACAGAGGAGCACCTGAAGCCTTCTCCACTCTGCCCCGCCCTGTGAGCAGCGCGTGGCGCTTGGAAGCGCCGCATGCTGCTCGCAGGGCAGGGGCAGAGCAGAGAAGGCTTCAGGCACTCCCCCACCTTCAGGCATTAATTGGCTGGGGGCGGGAGAGCACACGAAGCCTCCTCCCGCCCTGCCAGAAGCACGTGACGCTTTGAAGCGCCGCACATTGCTCACAGGGCGGAGGTGTGTGGGGGAGAGCGGAGGAGGCTTGGCACGCTCCCCGGCCCCTAGGCCAATCAGGGTCTGGGGGCAGGGGAGCTGCGTGAAGCTTCCTTTGCCCTGCCCCGGCCCTGCAAGTAGCCCACAGCACTTCAAAGTGTCACCTGCTCCTCGTCGGGTAGAAGGAGGCTTCCCGTGCTTCTCTGCCCCCAGGCCCTGATTGGCCTGGGGGTGGGGGAGCGTGCCAAGCCTCTTCCAGGGCATGGGTGCCTAGTGGGAAGGGGGGAAAGGGGCTCTCCCACCCCAAGACCAATCATGGTCTGGGGGTCGGGTAGCCCCGCCCCTTCCTGTTTAGGCCCACCCTTTCCAGGGTGGTCCGGGGCTACTTCAAAAATTTTTGAAGTGGTCTCTGGGCAAATATTATTGCCCACTCCTGATATAAAGTCAATGTATGTACCAGGACTGTTACAGCATGTTTGTGTGTTTATTGTGAAGCTGCAGTTTTGGGTGGGGCATGTATGCCAGTGTGTTGCAAATGGGTATATGGTGAGGTGTTTATATGGGTGAGTATATGCTTGAACGGGGGTTGTGAGTCATTTTATGTTTGCCGGTTTGTTCAGGCTGAATTACCGCCACATTCCTTTAGGGGGCAGTATTTAAGAGGGTTTCTCAGATACCTTACAGATGCTTCAGTGGCTCTACACTGCTGTTCCCACAAAGGGTAAGAGGTGTGCCAGGGCAGGCAGGGAAAAAACAAAGGAGAGGGTGTAGCTGGACCATGTGGGCCTTTGGCTGTTCTTCCCTGGGGGCAGCCAGAGTGTAAGTTCTAGCTTGAACCAGGGGCATGACAGAGTGCCAATGCGGTGCTGATAGGACCGGGACCTCTGGAGCTTAGTGCATGAGCTCTACTGCCTGAGCGAAAAGCCAGCCGGCTCTCAGCTAATGCTAGAGAGAAAACTCATTCTTTCTCTCTATGGGTATGTCTACACTGCATCCCTAGTTCGGACTAGGGATGCAAATGGAGACGACCGAAGTAGTTAATAAAGCAGGGATTTAAATATCCCGCGCTTCATTAACATGATCTCACCGGCGCGCTAGTTTGAATCACAGCTGATTCGAACCAGGAAGTGCACGCCAGGACGCGTTAGTTTGAACTAAAGCCCTTAGTCCGAACTAACGTTACTCCTCAGGA